CTTATAATAGAAATATAACTTCTATTATTAGTATCTTATATTTTTCTCTTTATTATAGGGTTTCTTTATAGTAATATTAAGTTCTATTAGTATTAATCTATAGTTATCTTTTTTACTTATACTCTATTAATTTATTCCTTTCTAAAAGGTTACTTTTCCCTATTATAGATTCTATAAATTATATAATTAATTATCAAGTTATACTACTATCTTAACTATTTTATTATAGTTCGTGTAGGGTCCTATTTTAATTATTTTATATTAAGTCTCTAGCTTAAGTCCTTATTTAAATATAGCTATCTTTCTATTATTATTATAGATCTTAAATTCCTAATATAGTTACTATAGTTATACTATAAACTAAGCTACATTTCTAATTTATTATAGGCTAGTAAGTTTCCTTTTAAGTATTTATTTGCGATCCGTATCTCTAAAAAACTATCTAATTATAGTTTTAAAATTTAGGTAGCTTTCTAAAATTTTAGTATAGACCTTAGATTATCCCTAAATATTAATCTAATCTTCTAGTATAGGTTTAAACTATATAGCTACGGTATCTTATAAATATAATATAGTAAAGATTACCTTCTTAACTTCGGTAAGTTCTACTTTAGTAGCTAGGTAGATATTATATTTACTTAAGAAGTACTCTAGCTTATATTATTCTCCTTTAAAGGTATTAGATATTCTAATTTTAACTAATACTTATATATCTCTAATCTATACTTTTAAAGCTTAAATTTTATCTAATATTCCCTTAATCTATATCTTATACTACTCAATATCGTCCTTATAGTTTTAGTTATTAACTTTCTTCTCTAGTATATTAATCTATTACTTAAGTTAGACTAAGATATAGTTAGAGTTAGTAGTATATCTACTTATAGTAGATATATTAGCTTCTTTATTATTCGGATAATATATTCTAGTTAATTCTTTAAATATTTAGGGTAGGGAATATATACCTATATTTTCCTTTTAGATATTTAGCTAATTAGGGTCGTAATTATATCTTACTATAGGTATTAACTAGTCTTTTAACTATAGACTTTTCTCTAATTAGGGTAACTATATTAAGTCGGAATTAATTATATTAAGTGCCTATAACTATAGGTACAGGAAGATTAATACTATAAAGGTAGGCTTCTCTTATAGGGATAAGGGAGGTATCTCGAGGAAAGGTATAACTTAAGGTACTCTATAAATAGATTAGAGTATAAATAGTACTTATTTACTATAGAGAGGATACTTTAGTATTTAACTTTAAGGTAATAGCTTTAAGTCTAGCTTAGTATATATATACTCTCTAAAGTCCTTATAAGTAATAAAGCTAGTATACTAGTTAAGTCTAGTATAAGGATATTAAGGGATATTAGATAGATAAAGAGAAGTATATATATATTAACTAGTACTATAAAGCTATAGCTTACTATAAAGTTAGCTTTAATCTTAAGTATTAGGGATAGCTCTTAATTAAGGTATAAAATAAATATCTTTATATATATATCCCAAAGGTCTATTTCCTCCTATTTAATTATAGTCTATAATAGACTGTTCTCCTATAGTCTATTTTAGACTATTTGGTTACGGTCTATATTAGACTATCCTAATTTTAGTATTTTGGACTATTCTATTATTATATAATCTATAGAGTTCTTCTATGCCGGAATCTTATTATCCAATGAATATATTTATCTAGGCTGCGCCGCAGATAATCTATAATAACTAGAGGTTAGTTCCTAATACTTAACTCTATTTTTAAAATCTCTCTAATAAATTAAATAAATTAGCTAAAAATATATAAAAAAATTACTAAACCCTAATTTACTAGTAGATTATATAATTGCTAAAAAATACTAAGAAACCCAATAGTTACCCATTGGGTACTTAAGTAGGTAAAAGGGTATCTCTAAACCCACTCAGGAACTGAGATAGGCTCTTAAAAACCGCCCAAATTGACCTATTCAACTACCTAAACCCATTGACCCAAGGTTTTGACCCACCTATACGGAAGTCTAACTAGGAGGTTAGGTAAGAAATCCTCTCGGGTAGAATAACTAGACCTAATAAAGAAACCTAAAACTAACCCTATTCTACCCTCTATTAGGCTATACCCTTAGATATTCTCACTTTATATTAACTTACTAGGACTAATTACTAACGCGCGATAGGATATAAAACTTTTATTACTTCTAATTAAGGATAATAAAATTTTCTATATTTTATATATTATTAGGGTTAATAGATCTAACTACCTATTAATATAGAATATAGTATAGGCGAACTAGGGATTTAACTTAAATATTATTAGCCTACTATTTACTAAGATGCTTGAGCTAGATATTAGACTACTATCTAAAGTAGACTTTAAGAGACTCTCTATAAGGATAGTGGATTATAATACTTCCCTACTTACCTAGTATACTAAATTTACTATAGGCATCTATAGTATTTAGAGGGATATTATAAGGCGGTAAGGCTTATAGACGCTATAGTAGTGCTTAATAGCTAGAGTATATATTATACGAGAAGTCGCTATAAGAATCTTAATATCTAAGGAACTAATTACTACCTTCTTTTAGGGATATAGTAAGGTATATTTATATATATATATATACTTATATAAGTACCAAAGCTTGATTAAATTATATAATATCTTCTTTAAGAGTTATATAATTCCCTATAGGCGTTTATTATAATTATTAAATTATAGTATAATAATTACCCCCCTCTTTTATATTACTATTTCTAGTAATAATTTTTATCTTTTCTAATACTTTTATTAAGGTTTTGTCTTATCTATATAGTTCTTACCTACTTAAGCAATCTATTAGAGAGTTCCTATATAATTAAAGTAAGGTTATAGTAAAGTATAGTTATATAGAAAGTAAGTAAGGATAGTAGTAGTAAGTAAAGGAAGTAAGTTAATAGAGTAAAGTATTAGAAATAAATATTAAAAGTAAAGCGCGGTAATAAAGAATAGAAATAAGTAATTAGTAAAATTTTACTTCTATAGTAAGTTATAGTTAAAATCTTCCTTTCTTATAGTAAATTACTAGTCTACACTAGATATAAAAGCTTTAATTTTTTTTCTTTTTAAACTTCTTCTTCTTCTTTTCTTCCTTAGCTAAAATAATTTTTTTATCTCTACTCCTATACTATTATAATTTTTTTACTATTTACTACTACTACTAATCTTCTTCTTCTTCTTTTCTCTTACTAGCTCCTATATATACTTACTATATCTTTATCTTCTTCTTCTTCTTCTTACTAGCTATATTATCGCGCCTCTATCTCCCCCTCTAATTTTTTTAGTTTTCTTAGTTACTATACCTACGCGCCTAATTTTTTCTTTTTTAAGATAGTAGAGTTAATTTCTATTAATAATATAGAGATCTCTACCTCTATACTATAAGTATTTCTTTCCTTCCTCTATTTCTAATAGTTATAAATTTTAATATAATAAAAGTTATATCCTATATACTTACTACCTTCCCTATTATAGGGATTATAAATACTACTATATACCCTCTAGGTATTATTCCTATATCTATTATACTACTATATATAAGGAGTATATTTTAATAAGTTATTCCTAATTTCTGCGTAAAGCTTTAGGGATAATATTACTAATATTTAGAAAGTTTACCCCCTTTTACTTTATTTACTATTTACTACTTATCTATATTAAGGCTACCGCGAAGTCTTATCTAGGGGAATCTATACTATTAATAGCTTATACTATTTAGAATATATATAGGGTAGCGAAGAAATATATAAGACTAAATAGTAAGGGAGCTACTATAGAGCTTAATTCTCTCTATAAGTATTATTATTACTAGTCTTTAAACTATTTCTAGAAGTTAGTAGGGGTTATTATTTCTATTTATTATTACTCCGTATTTCTATTAGAAATATAGATTACTAGTTCTATTATTATTAGTTCTTCTCTAGGTTTTAGTCTATATAATAGGCTAACTAGCTCTAATAATTCCAAAGCTTACGAGGTATTAAAGATATAGATTTATAGGTATAAGGAGGCCCTTAAGGTCGAGTTTACTAATAGTAAGAATAATAAGAAGTAGAGTAATTTTAATAACTAAGGGTAGAGTTTTTTATATTATAGCTTCTGTCTTATACTCCTACTTTTTATAAATAGATTTTTCTTTTTTCTTATTTTAATTTTTTTCTTTTCCTATAGTATTCTATACTAGTTATAGCTACTTACTATAATAATAATAATAAATTTCTATACTCCGTTTAGCTACTTAGTTAACTATACGGGAATTATCTAACTAATTTACTAGATTATTTACACCTTTCTCTTTGCTTCTAACCCTTCCTTAACCCTTATATCTAGAGAGCCTAGATACTATTACTGATAAGAGAGTTAGCTAAGGTAAACTATTCTAGAATACCTTGCCTTAGCTACTACTTAGTTAGCCTTTTTACCCCTTTATCTATTATAAGTAGGGTTTCGTAATCTAGGCTTCTATTTAGTATTAGGAGGTCCCTATCTTCTCTATTCTTATAGAAGACTATAATATACTTAGATTTCTCCTATACTCTTCTATAGAAGTATATTAGGGAGTTAGCGCCGAGCACCCTTATAAAGTTAAGGAAGAAGACTAGATCTATCTTTCCTAATTTTACTTAGGTAAGGATAGTAGTTTACGCCTTTTATAGACCCTATTATATCTATAGTACTATTCTAGTTAGGGGCTATCTATAGATACTATTACTAAGCCCCTTAACCTCTTTATCCCTACGAAGCTTCTAGTATTCTAAAATTTCTAGAGGTTATTAAGTTCATATAGGGCGTGTAGAGGTTTAAATAGAGGATAGTAGTAAATACTAGGAGTCCTCCTAGCTAATTAGTAGAGTTTTAGCCTACAAGAATAGTCTCGGGTACTAAATACCTCCTCTTAGTTTTCTTCTTCTAATAAGAATTAAGTTTCTAACTCTATTATAATAGTACTAGATAAGGTCTCTAGTATTAGAACCCCTTACCTATTATAGATATGTGGCTATTCTACTTATTATATAGAGGTCTAAGGGTAGTATATAGGATTTACTCTCTAAGAGGCTTACTAGAGTAGCCTTATAGGCTCCTAGTATAGTCCTAAGGTATTTATTCTATACTTCTATAAGTCTATAGGTAATTCCCTTTTATATAGGCCTCTTAGTTAAATCTAGTTAGTACTATACTACTATAGTATAGGTAAGGGCTAGTCTAATAATTATTAGGTATACCTTTCTAGCCTTAAGTATTAGAAGACCCTAGATTAATTTAGTAAGCCTAGTTAGTATAAGATACTATATCCTTATCTTTTTAGTAACTACTTTAAGGTACTTATCCTAAGTAAGCTTTTAGTTAAGGATAAGGCCTAGTACTCTTATAGCTAGACTTAGAGTAATAACTTAGCCCTCGGGTAGTTAGAGGCTTATCTTAGTATTAAATATCTTAGACTTCTTAGTTAAGTAGATAAGAGTATACTTTTCTAAAGTAAAGGTCGCTCTATACCTTCTAGTCTAACTAAGGTATTTTAAATATAGTATTATAAGTCTCTAGTAATTCCTCTATATTAAAGGTCTCTAAATAAGTATATTAGTATTATCTATAAAATCTATAGCTAAGGCTATCTTCTCCTTATTATAGATCTCTAGAAGTTTAGTACTATAGAAGAGGTATAGTAGTAGCAAGATAGATAAGCTCTATAGAATATTTAGCTCTACCTCTATATAGTTTAAGTCCTTACTATTAAAGAGGAGTATAGTCTTCCTACTATCTATAAAGGAGTATACCTATCTAATAAGTACCCTTAGTATCTCTTTCTATCTTAATATATAGAGGAGCCTATCTTTATTTACTCTATTAAAGGCCCCTAAGATATCTATAGAGAGTAATATAGTAACTCTAAATTTAGTATTCTAGACTACTCTAATCTAGTTTACTAGCTAGTCTAGAGCTATTTTAGTAGATCTACCTTATCTAGTACTTAATTACTTCTCTAGTAGTATCTTATATTTCTCTATTAGAGTTCTAAGGTACTCTATAGTTACTAATTCTATAACCTTTCTAAGTATATTTAGTAGGGCTATAGACCTCTAGGCCTTAGCTTTAGTATAGTCCTCCCTATCTAGTTTCCTAAAAATTACTATATAGGCCTCTTTAAAGGCTATAGAGTAGTATTTCTAGACTCAGATAGCTTAGGTAAGAGACCTTAATATAGTAGTGAGGGGCTTACCTATTATAAGTAGGAAGCTAAGTAGAATTCTATCTATATCTAAGGCTTTCTAGAGTTTAGCTCTCCTTAGGGCTAATTAGACCTCCTCTAGCGTTATTCTAGGCAGATCCTCTACTTTTAGGCTATAGGTAGCCCCCTTAATATTAAAGAGGTCTATAGGGGTATAGTTAGACTTCCGTATAGGCGGATTGGGCGGTTATTTACCCTTAATGGTTTTTAACCGCTAAGTAGCTATAACTATCCAGGCCTCTTTAAAACCACCCAATACCCAAAGGTGAAAAATCCGAACCACCCAATGGGTACCTATTCAAACCTAAAGTTTAAATATAATGCCAAGCCCTGATTAGTAATCTACTAGCGTAGTTAGGTAGGCTTACTAGTTATTTATAAAAAGCGCCAAGCCTAGTATTTTTACCTAATTTATTTAATTTATTAGAACCTTTTTAAAAGAAAGACTCATTATAGAGATAATACTTGACTCTATTTTTAAAATCTCTCTAATAAATTAAATAAATTAGCTAAAAATATATGAAAAATATTACTAGACCCCAATTTACTAGTAGATTATATAATTACTAAGAAATGCTAAGAGACCCAATGGTTACCCATTGGGTGCTTGGGTGGGTAAAAGGGTATCTCTAAACCCACCCAGGGACCAAGATAGGCTCTTAAAAACCGCCCAAATTGACCCATTCAACCACCCAAACCTATTCACCCAAGGTTTTGACCCGCCTATACGGAAGTCTAGGTATAGTTAGCCTACTAGCTATCACTTACCTAATTACTTACTAGATAGAATCTAGTTCTTAGAGTATCTACTATTATTTTATAGTCCCTAAATTATCCCTCTAAGGGTAGGATCTTAGAAGGTTTAGGGGGCTTAAAGCTTCTCTCTTTGCCTTATTTCGCAAGCTTTTAGATACCCCTAAACTTATCTCCTAGCTTATATAGATCTCTATAGAAGGTTACTCTCTTTTCCTCCTTAATAAGCTTCTTCTTAGCTTTATTAAGGTTCTATATAGCTTTATAGGGGTCTCCTCTATATATTACCTAATATTTCTCTCTAATTACTACCTAGGCTATAGTTTTAAAGCCTTCTAGGTATCTAGTAGGCTAGGTAGTAGCTTTTTAGACTAAGATATACTTTTCTAAAACCTTTATAAACTTTATAGTCTCCTTAGCGTCCTATAGTATTATATAGTATAGTAAGATCTAACTAAATCTTTACTAAGGTAGTATATTCACCTCTCTTATTTACTAAATAATAGTATCTATACTTAATAAGCTCAAATCTAGCTAGAAGGGTCTCTTTAGTTATCTTTTCTATCCCTTCTCTTCTATTAGGGGGAAGTTCCTATAGATATAGAGTTTTTACTCTACCTCTACTACCCTCTTCTACTACCACTATGGGGTCAAAATCCACGGTTTTTCCTAGTAGAGCTATAGACAAGGCTCTCCTCTTCCTCTCTTCCTCTTTTAATAGGTAGTTTTAACGTAGGGGGGTCTGTTAATAGAATATTTTGTGTTCTAATAATAATAATAAAAACTTTTAATTTTTAATTATCTCCCCTTAGTATCTCCTCTTTGTCTTTTAGTAGCTCCTCTAAGCTCCCTCTCTACTTCTTACTATAAGAATTTTTTAAGGGCTTCTATCTCTATAATATTCTACTCTAGTTCCTAGCTATTACTTTCTAGTCCCTATTCTTCCTATCGAATTAGGTATTCTATTTTTATTTAATATTTTTACTATTTTAGTATTTATTTAATAATCTATTCCTCTTCTCCCTCTACTAATACTAAATCTAGAGGAGGTTCTATCTCTTCTCTTTAGTAGTATAGTTTAAGTAGAGAGACGTGGAAAACGGGGTATATTAATCTATACGTGGGGGTTAATTATAGTTTATATACTTATTTACCCTATATAAATAGTACTTTAAAAGATCTAATAAAAATATAGTCTAGCTTTTTAACTAGCTAAATTAAGTATATATTCTTAGTATTAAGTAATACTTAGTCTCCTACCCTATACTCTTTTAGGCTATACTTTATATTATAGTACTTCTTTTATATCTCTTTTATCTTTTCTAGCTATAAGATAAGCTCAAGTCTAATTTTATCTAGTATTTTTACCTATTCTATAGTATTAGTTAATTAAGATATTTAGGATTATTATTATTATTATTTTTCATTATACTCCTATGCAGTCTAAGACTATAAGGAGTCCTATATAAATAGGTAGTTAAAATCAAGACTTTAGCCTCCTTAGGCTCTAATTTTTAGGTATAGCGCGAATTGGAATCTTGGTAACGGTATAAACGGCACATAGTATAGTATACAAGAGTAGCCGCCAGGAGCACCCAAATAGTACTTTGGCGGCAGAGTTAGTTAGAGTCTTAGAGGCCGCATATAGTAGGCGGTGCGCGACTCGGCCAGCCTACCGCGCGTAGTAGGTAGTAGGCGGCACTAGTAGAACTAGCCGCTCTTGGAGGATTTTATAGACGTATTATTCTAGGTTCTAGATATTTTGGATCTAGCTCCTAGTAGTAATTTCTATTTTTCTTAGGAAGTCTAGGAGCTATTTCCGACCTTTTTTAGTCTAAAATATAGCTATTATATTCTAGTTATTACTTTCTAAGGCATAGGCCTTCTTTAAAGTATCCCGAATCTCCTTATAGATAGGGTATTCTAATAGAAGGTATTATAGGGTTTCCTTTATATTAGTATACCTAGGGCAGTTATAGGAGTTGTAATTAGGTAGCCTTCTAAAATAGGATCTAAAGTATCTATATCCTAGTTTAAGTTGGTTCCTAGTTACCTAGTACTTCTTTAGCTAAAGATCCTTAGAAGCTAACTATTTAGGAGAGGTTTCAAACTTAAAATATTCCCTTCCTAATAATAGTTCCCTTTTTTCTAGAAGATATTAGTTCTACTCTTCTAGAGCTATTTCTTTTATACGCCTCTTTAAGTTCGCTAGAGATATATATTTTAGAATAGAGGTAGTATTTAGGCTTACTTCTAGTTTTACTACTTAATCTACTTTTTTATTCCCTAGTATATCTATATGCGCGGGGACCTAAGAGACTATAAAGAAGACTCCTTTTTTCCTTATTTTCTCTACTATTTTCTTTATAGAGAAGATATATCTTTCTCCCCCCTCTAAAGCTAATTTCTAAAGTCTTTATATTACTACTTGGCTATCTACAAAGACCCAGAGCTTCTTTCTAGTTAGGGAGTAGGAGAAGAGCGAGTTCTAGCTACCTAGGGTAGTAGATTCTAAGCTTCTTAAGACTTTTAGAAAAGCCCTTTTAATAGCAAAGAGTTCTGTATTAAAGACTTCTAATTCAGTTCCTAGATTCTAGGCTTAATATTAAGAGGTTATATATTCAAAAATTCTAGCTCCTATAGTTCCTTTTTCTAATCTAGATCTATCAGAATAGTAAATTAGATTCTCTAGGCTTTTTAGAATATCTTTAAGAAGTTCTAGGTACTCCTTTTTTACTTCCTCTTTAGGTAGAGGTAAAATTCTAATCTCTATTAGATTTTCGAGGTCTTCCTCCTATAGAAATATTTAGTATCTACTAGGGGCTTTAATCTTTAAGCTACCTAGGAAAGGGGCTAGTAGAGAGATAATTCTAAATAACTAAGATACCTCCTTCTTTCCTTTCTTTCCTTCTAGATAGTTAAGATTTAACTATTCGTAGAATTTATTCTAATCTAAATCTATTCCTAAATCTCTTTCTAGTAGGAAACTTTTAGAGACTCTAGCTCTAATAGGGTAATCGATCTAGAGAGATATAATCCTAAAGGTATATATTCTATAGATTCTATCTAGTCTAACCCTTATAGGAGGTATAGAGGCCTCTATTTCTATTTTATAGGTAGGTGAAGTCTTAAAAGTACCTAAAATCTTCCTTAGAGCTTTATTCTAAAGGAGACTATCCTTTTTTTAAAGGTCTTTTTAGCCTTTCTACTAAATAGGGACCCTATAGTCCGCTATAGATACTATATAGGCTATATAGGGCTGCCTAACTACTTAAAAGGATAAGCCTCTCTCTATATTAGATAGTCTAGCTATTTAATTAAGAATCCTTTTAGCTACCTGTAGCCTATTTTCCACATAATTCTTAAAGGTTAGGTTATTATTAAAGTATACCCCTAACTATCTAATAACCTTTTTAGGCTTTATAGGTAGTATTTAATCTTCTATATTAATAAATATTTTATCCTAATCTTTATCTATTTTCCTAGAGAAGTAGATAAGTTCGGTTTTATCTATATCTATTTAAATTAGGAGTTCTTCCTACCTCTTTAAGATAACTTCTAGAGCTCTTTTAAACTTTCTAGAGTTTTATTCCTTTATCTTAGAAGAGGTAACTAATCCTATATTGTCGGCGTAGCTAGATAGTCTAATATCCTCTAGATCTTTATAGCTATTAAAAAGCTCTTTAATATAAATTATAAAGAGAATAGGGGAAATAGGGGATCCCTATAGAATCCCTATTTCTATATCTCTAGTTTCTTAGATTTTCTTATTAAAAGCTAGTTAAATGGACCTTTTAGTTATAAAAGAGGCTACCTACCTAACTAGAGACTTAGGTAGTCCTAATCTCTAGTAGACTCTAATTAGTTAATTTAGAGATACATAGTCGAAAGCTCCCTTAATATTAATAAATAGAGCTAAAGTAGTTAAGCCTTATTTCTTAGCTAGTTAGATATTATAAATTAGACTTATAGCCGTGTCTATAGCTAAGAACTACTTTCTGCCTCCTAGCTAGTCGAAGTAGAGTAGTCTTTAGCTTTTAAAGGCAAGGTATTCTAGTCTAGTAGCTAGGACCTTCTCTAGTACCTTACCTAAGTAGCTAAGGAGAGAGATAACCCTATAGGATTTAGGAATAGTATAGTTCCTATTTGGTTTAGGAAGGATAATTCCTATTACCTATTTCTACTTAAGAGGGTAGTACCCTTTAATAAAAAGAGCTCTATAGAGGTTAAAGAGCCTATCCTCTATAGTTAGATAGATTTTCTAGATTATTAGAAAAGATATCTTATCTAGGCCTACTACCTTTTTAGGGGAGCTAGTAAAGATTACCTTTTTAACTTCTATTCTAGTTAATTCGAGCTATTCCCACTCTTTTTCTTAGTAGTCCTAATAGTCTATTTCCTAAGATAGAGGTAGCTTTTTAAAAAGAACTTCTATAAAGGCTTCGCATTTTTCCTAAAAAGAGATAGCTTTAAATTCTTTACCTTCCTTATTATAGGTAAGAATAGGGAGCTTTTCTAGGTACCTCTTTTTAGTATAATTAAACGCTTTAAAGATTTCTTTTCCTTTAGCTTCTTCTAGAAAGGTATTCTAGTAGGCTTATTTAGTATTCTTTACCTCCTAGAAGTAGTAGTTTCTAGTTTCTTTAAATTATTCGAAGCTTAGGAGGCCTTACTTATATCTAGAGCTATCCTTTTTTATCTCTTTTCTAAGCTCTTTTAGCCTAGGTATCTACCACGGCTTTAAGTACTTAGAGGTCTACTTTTTTAGAATTTATTCTAGGGAAATAGAAATAAGGCTTTCTAAACGGCTAGCCTCTTCTTCTAGAGTTTCTATAGAGTTCTCTTCTTCTAGGACTATTTTAAACTCCTCTTTACTAAGGTTTTAGCTAAGTATCTCTAGAACCTATTTTTAGTCTACCTTAATTAAATTATAGATATTTAATAAAATAGAATTCTTTATTAGACTAGTAGAGTCTATTTCTATATTAAAGTAGATAACCTCGTAGTCTAAGCCTAATTCTAAAGAGTCCTCTATCTACTAGTTATAGGGCCTCTTTAAAAAAGGTAAGGAAAAGTAGATAAGATTTATAATAGAAGGGTTCTATATAGATTTTAAGTAGGTTACACGGTCTTCCTTATTAATTATCTTAAACTAGTATTTATTTAGCTATTCTACTAGCGAATCTACTCTTAGAGAGGTTAATCTCTTAGAGTTCTACCTAGGGTAGTGGGCGTTTAGGTCTCTAGCTAGTATAGTATTCATTTTAGGTAGAATTTTTAGAAGTTCTCTTTCTATTATTCTTCCTTCTAAGCCTTCTTTTAGAGATAGCTTATTATAGATATTTATTACCTGAATAGGCTCTAATTTTTCTTTAGAGTCTATTATATCTATAATAAGAAGATTAGGGCTATCTATAATATCTAGTCTAAGATTTACCTAATATCTAGACTTTTTTCTAGTAAATATTGCTACTCTAGGTCTAACTTCTCTAGTCTAAGGTAAAAAGGAGAAGTAGGATAGGTAAGCTATAGTATATTAATCATCTATACTAACCTAGAGTTCCTAAAATAGAACTAGATCGATTTTTTAATTAAAGGCTATATCTAAGTAGGTCTATATAGATATATCCTTTCTAGCCATATTATTTTATAAAAAGGTAAGTTTTGATTCTACTATTAAGGAGGCTTAGATAGAATCCTACACCTTTAAAGATAAGGGCTTTTTTAGGAGCTAGTACTTCTTTTAGTTTCTCTAGATTCTTTTTAGTAATAGTAGGCTTTCTAAAGAAGGGGCATTCTATACTATTTGCTAAGTATTTTTCCTTATAATTTATATATTTTAGGGTTATATATTTACACTCTTTCCCTATAATGTAGTAGATTATATAATTATAGGCTTTAATTTTGTGTTTTTCTATATAGATATAGTAGCTAGGGGTAGTAGCTTTATAATCTATAGAACTGTGGCCGTATTTCTGGTAGAAATAGTATTAGAGTCTAAATTTAAAGACCTTTTCCCTAGGCTTATATTCTTCTAATTTTCTATAGCTACCTACTACTAGAATAAGCCTTAGGGTAATCTTTTCTTTTAGATAGATTAGAGCTAATCCTTTAGATCTAGTTTCTAGCTCCTCCTTTCTAAATAGCCAGATTAGGTCTTTAGGAAGTAGATCTTTTAGATTAGGGTTAAAGATCTCAATTTCCTCTTTTAGGAGCTTTAGACCCCCTTCTCCTTTAAAGAATTCTAGGGTAATTCTATATAGAACTAGGTGGGCCTATTTTTTATCTTTTTTAGTTTCTAGAGTCTCTCCTAGAGCTAGGAGATAGGATTTAACTATCTTTTCCCAGATAGTTTGATTCTCTAGGAGGTAGGTAGCGGAAAAATTAAGCATAGTAGTTAGGGTGAGGTTATCTCCTTTATAGATCTTCCCTACCGCTACTAGAACTGGGCTAGCGGAACCTTTTTCCTTAGAGAAAGCCTGATTAATTAAGTTCCTAATTTTATAGCCTTCTAGAGACTCTAAACTTTTAGGGATTGCTATATAGAGTTTTCTCTAAGAGGTAGGGATAGGCTCTATAGCTTGCTTTTTTAGTTGAGGGCTAGCCCTTTGTTTTTAATCTTTTTCCTAAGAGTTTTGTCCTTTTAGAATTAAGGCGTAGGTAGTTTTAGGTTTTAGAGTAGAGATAGGTTTCGCGGGTACCTCTTCTAGAGAGGTAGGTACGGGTCTCTAGCTTAAGTTTAGCCCTTTCTCCTCTAGGGCTTAAATCCTTTCCTCTATTTTCTGAAAGGGGGTCTTAAGAGAGAGGTCTTGTTTTCCTCTAAAAGCTAGTATCTGTTGGAACTGTTTCTTTTATTCCTCTAGAATATTTAAGACTTTTAGGTTCTTTTCCTCTTTTATTTCCTGCTCCAGTAGGTTAAGAATAATCTTTAGATTATCTACCTTTCCTTTTTGAGAGAGAAAAGAGTTCGCTTTTTGTTCCTTCCTTCCTTTTTAGGTAGTTTCTTCTAGACTAAATAGTCCTTTAGAAAAGATAGCTTTAGAGCTAGTTTCGGGTTTCCTTTTATTTAGAGCCTTAGACTATATAGGAGTAGATAGGATAGGGGTAGGCGTAGCTATAGAGCTAGCGGAATTAGTCTCTATTTCTATCTCACTATCTTGAGCCTCTAAGAGGTAGAACGGGTTTAGTTTTATCTCAAAAGAGAAGGAAATAGGGGAACTAAGGCGCCCTTTTCCTTTAGGAGAAGCTATTTAGGCTCTTCTAGTCTTTTACTAGGGGGTAGGTTTTATTAGATAACCTAAAACTCTAGGTTTCTAGGTAACCTGTAACTTTTCGAGGGGGGAGGGCTAAGAGGTAAAACTAGATATATCTTCTTTAGAATAAAGCATATAGCTTATTTTCTTTAGAATTCTATATTCTAGTAGTAGTTTTTAAAGAGAACTACTAAACTAGTGGATTTTTTGTAGGGAAATCCTTCTAAAACTAATAGAGATATTTCTAGATAGTTTAACCTGCCTCAAGGTCTTAGCCTAACTTAGGAGAGACTAAATAGAGTATATTTCTATATCTTTTTACTGAGAAGGTGTAAGGGCCTGTTTTTTCTAAGAAAAATCCCAGGTAAAAAAGCTACTACCTTTTTAGTAGTGGTAGAAAACTAGTTCACTTTTCTTTTAAGTAGAGAATTAGACTCTAAAATAACTGCTTTGGTTTGCCTTCTAGTAGAGATCCCTACCTTCTAGCTCTATCTAGAGCTTTCTAGTATTATAGAGGCCTCTAGTTAATCTAATAGGGGTTTAAAATCTATATAAAACGTATTACAGAAGCTCAGTCTATTTAGATTTAGAATCTTCTTAGAGAAACTATATTTAAATAAGCCCTTTAAATTAGACTAGGTCTTTTCTAAAGTAAGCTTATTAGTAGGGACCTAGTACCTCAGTTAAACTACTGGGTATTAGCCCTTAAGCTACTAATTTGTATTGGTTAGGGGTGTAGATAGGAAATATATAAGGAGGGGCTTTTTAGATAATAGATAAGATAAGAGATAAGATAAGGAATACTTAGGTAAGGGAAAATCAAATACTTAGGTAAGGAAAATCAAAAGTAAAGAGGGAAAAAGGGGGTGCTTATATAAGCAAAGGCTTGGTAGGAAAATCAAAATCAAGCAGAAAAAATTTTTTTCCTAAGGTTTTTGGGGGGAAATCAGCGTTTTTTCTTAGATATTTAGGATCTACTTATATTAAGTTTTAGTTTTAGTTTATACTCTATAAGGGCTATATATAGGACTTCTCCCGTACTACTATAGTACGAGGTATTATATATATATTACGCTAGAGGTAGCTAATAGACTTAATTATCCTTTTAGAAGTTTATAAAATATCTTAAGTAGTATTCTAGTATTTAGTTCTACCTTTTTATCTATTTATTAGTTTGCGGGTAGAAGGCTATAAAAAGCTAATATTTTATATTAAGGTAGTAATAGAGGGTTAACTAATACTTATTTATAAATAATACTTCTCTATTTAAAATTATATTTTATAGTACTCTATAGGTACTAAATACTTTCTTATAGTAGACTTCTACTAGTTCTTCTTCTTTAATATTTTTTATACTTAAAATATATAGCGTGGACTTAGTTAGTATATCTACTATTATAAGGATTATATTATATATTATATCTCTCCCTAATAAAGGTAGTAGTTCTATAATAAAGTCTATTATTACTATTTCTTATAATTCAGAGAGTAAGGGAATTATTTCTAGACTTCTATATTATTTATACCTTCTAGATTTTACCCTTTAGTAAATATTATAGGTTTATATATAGTTTAAGATATTAGTAGAGAGTCCTTACTAAAAGTACTTACTACTAATAGCTTTAATAGGTCTTTTTATTATAAAGTAGCCTCCTTATAGATCGTTATAGTTTAGTTATATAATTTCCTCTTTTAGTAGTTTACTATTAGGGATATATACTTTACCTAAAAATTTTAGAAGACTATCTCTATCTAATATTTATTCTTCCCCTTTAGTATTACTTTCTCCTTAACTTTATAGTTCCTTCCTCTTTTACTCTATAACTAGGTTACTTTTCTAGACTTTTAGTAAGAAGTCCTAGAATAGTTCTAGGATATTAATATATACTATATTACCTCTTACTAAGTAGTTAATATAGAGGTATAGTATAAGATATATTCTAACTTACTCTCTATTACCCTTTATAGGGGGTATTATCTAATATTTATAGTCTTTTTAAAAGGGTTCCCTATTAGATTTAGTATATATTTATAAAGTCGCGCTTTTAGCTCTCTCTATCTTCTTAAAGTAGTATATAGAGGGTTCTTTTTTTAGTAGGTTTTCTATTTCCTAGCCCTTTTCTATACTATATTGAAGTTTATTTTATAATATTAGTAGTATTATCTCTCTATTATATATATTTATATAGTCTACTTAATAACTAGGAGTACCTATAAGATTCTTTATTTCTAAATAGTATAGGAGTATAAAGTTATATATACTTAGTACTTCATAGATTCAAAATTGAAAAAACGGAAAAAAGAACCCCCTACGTTAAAACCATCTATTAAAAGAGGAGGAAAGGAAGAGGAGAGCCTTATCTATAGCTCTACTAGAAAAAACCACGGGAATTGACCCCATAGTAGTAGTAGAAGAGGGTAGTAGAGGTAGAGTAAAAACTCTACACCTACAGGAACTTCCCCCTAATAGAAGAAAAGGGATAGAAAGGATAACTAAAGAGACCCTCCTAGCTAGATTTAAGCTTATTAAGTATAGATACTATTATTTAGTAAATAAGAGAGGTAAATACGCCGCCTTAATAAAGATCTAATTAGGCCTCACTATACTATATAATAAGATATTATAGGATATTAAGGAGATAGTATAGTCTATAAAGGCCCTAGAAAGGTATATTCTAACCTAAAAGGCTACTATCTAGCCTACTAGATATCTAGAAGGGAA